AAGTTCTAAAAAGTTCTGAACACATTTTCAATAAGATATGGGACATTTTTAATTGATAGTGTTCAATCAACATCGCGCGTCGTTCCGTAACCTCTATGGCACAAATTAAAAAAAAATATTTGCACCTCAAACGAATAAGTTTAATTATATTTATATATATAAGTAGGCAAGCTGAAACTAAAATACCATCTCCATATACAATAGGCCAAATTCAATCTACTACTAAAAAAGCAATCATTACGTATATACGGTGCGCTCTCGAATATCTATATATTTATTAATTCATTATACTTTATAAATGATAATAATCCATACATTAATTCAAATCTGATGAACTAAGACATTAAAAATTATATAACATATATATAAATAGTATAAAATTTGTTAACTACTCCATACTTGAGTAACATTTGAAATAACTGTATAAAATAAATCATTTAGAAAAAAAAAACGATGCCAATTAACCCCCTTATTTATAAATAGTAAGTTTAATAACTATAACAGTTTTATAGTTATTAAATTAAATAACCATAATTCTATTTTAACAATAAATATTCTTTCGCACTTTCGATCTACTTCAATCAATTGAAAGTGATAAATGAGTTTAATACATAAAATGTAGTTTTTTTTTAATATTTGTATAAAGGGGGATTTAACATGATTTATACATTTTTATCTTTCATACAGTTAAATAGTACATCAGATTTGAAATGATTAACTAAAAGAACTAATTGCGAATATGCACAGTTAAATTATATAATAGAACACTATTAATATATTTATTACAATATACTGGTCGTTCTGAGATCTGTTCGTCACCAATCTGGCTCCAATACTGTTATACATTTTCTTTTATATATATTTTCCACATTATCTTAATATAATGTGGTACTTCTTGTGTTTATTTTGATAGTGGAGGTCCCTTCTACAGATAATGTAACTTAGTACTTACCTCTTCAAATTAACCTTTTATTTTCGACCAAAAAAATGTTTAAAATTGTCAAATAATTGATGCATGGTACATAGTTCATATTTAATCTAGTACCAGTTGTAAACAAACTGATAGCCCACCTGATAGTAAGTGATAGATTTATAATTATATATTTATTCTTAAGTTTATAATTTTACGTTAAATTATAAACTTGTGGAAAAATGGAAATCGCTCTTTATGTAATAATAAAAACATTATTTTTATATAGCAACAAAACAAATATTAAAAAATACACCTTTGCATATATAAGTACGGATGTATTGGAAACGAATCCCTGTATCCAATAGGCAGGAGTTGTACTTTAGCTGCTCCCTAAATTCCGTGGGTTTGGAGTGCCATCTACACTCGCTCTTCATCATTAGTTGAAGCTGTAAAAGCCAGCTACGGCCAACAGCATACGAATAGTTCGAAAAAAAAATACTAATTTGAGGATAGAAATAACATAAATTTGTATCCTGGACAATTGATACAGCGCCATCTAGTCCCAAGCTAAGCAGAGCTTGTGTTATGGGTACTAAACAAATGACAGATACTTTTTTTTCTAAATACATAATATGCATAGAAAACGCCTAGACCAATTCAACCACTTATACCTATGAATACAAATGTTCGTACCGAATAATCGAACCCGCGACTATAGGCAGTAAGGCCGTGTGCTAAACCGCTAGACCACCGAGGCCGTCACAAATTAATAGCTAATAGGAGTGGCATTCTCGTAGCTGTAATACTCACTGATTTTATGTAATTTAGTATACTAGTCTATATATAGAGTTAGTGTACCAAGTCGCTAGCACTGTAACACGTTACTAGTAACTAATTGATACCGCGTGATATTATTATTTATACAAACGATTACTTGAATGACGAGCGTGCATGTCAATAGTTAACGCACGGAATTCTTATTTAATGTTAGACATAGACACATAAATAAATAAACTGGCTTTAAAAAAAATCAAATTCAATTGAGTTTCTTGCCAGTTCTTCTTAATTGAATCTGTATACTGAACTGGACGGTAGGGAAATAAATATAATATAAAAAAATTGACGTTCATAAGCGGCTAAAATGTACTACATGAAGAAATTAATATGAAACATGTATTATTTATGACAAGGAATCGGCAACACTTTGTTATTCACTCAGTAATAGCCGACGTTCTTGATTAGTGGAGCGTAAGGGGGCGTAACTAAAAAAGGCACGCCTCCAAATTTCATTCACAAAAACTATCAACATCATTACATATATTTCTATTATGGTAGAACTGATTGACAGATAATGTTACCTGTATATAAATATAGACTGTAGCTTTTTTAAATTATTTATAACTAGCTATTCGCCCCGGCTTCGCACGGATTGAGTAGCTAGTTGCTGTCACTATCTGTACCTATGTATACTTAAATCTTTGAAACTACGCGACGGATTTTGAAGCGGTTTTAATAGATAGAGTGATTCTAGAGGAAGGTTTATATGTATAATACGTATATGTATAATAACACACTTATACATATAAACCTTCCTCTAGAATCACTCTATCTATTAAAACCGCTTCAAAATCCGTCGCGTAGTTTCAAAGATTTAAGCATACATAGGGACAGACAGACAGTGACAGCAACTTTATTTCATACTATGTAATGATGACGACAGCTAATGTTCCCTGTATATGAACATAGGTAATGTTGTTTGTTTTTCACTTATTTATAAGTGAATCCGTGAAGAGACCTCTTACTTACTTATATTTACTGAAAGTCCTACATATATCCTATTTATAAACAAGAAGTAGCACATTATATCTGTTCACTTTGCGTTATAACCTCACCGAAGCGGTCATGAACATTCTGTAGTGCTTGATTCCAATAGACTTTATCCTAAACCACCATTCTCCAAATTAAAATAAAATTATTAGACACAGTATCGCAATTAACTTCTCTTATTATTAATAATAAAAATCTTAAAAACTGCAGTCATTTTAAGGAACCACAAATATTGAGTGCGGAAACCTGACTACCGTTACTGGAAGCGTTACGTCCATATTGCGATAAGTAAATACTTATTACCTGATGGCATAACCTAATGATGTTTTGTTCAGATGCTATTTACCATCTGAACGAGACGTCATCAGGCAACGAATACAGCTTGGAAATAATAGATAGGAACAAAAACATATATTATAATACAATATTTTGTCGCTTCCTATCAAATGAAGAAATTAACACGAAAGAAAAGGACGAAATATTCACGTTTCATGTATAAGGGGATTTTATGTTTGTAGTTTGACAATAATTTATTAGAAATTTCACATTAAATAAGATTTTGCGGCAGTATCAAAATGAAATTTATTGTATAAAGATATATTTAGAGAATGGTGATTTAGAAGCGAGCCCAATATTAGATGCACATTATCATTCCCCATCAATAAATGATGTTTTGCTATTGGTAGTATCATCAGTGAATTAACAATCACATCTTGTAAAATATAATATTAATTGCAAACACCCGTGAATGAATTTTATAACAATGTTATTGTTATTCTAATTTGTTATTTATTCTAATTTATAAGACCTGATTTTATCCCGAAATATACTAAGGATTTTGGTCTTTACAGCTTCACCGAAAGATAGGCGAGTGCAGATGGCATTCCAAACACGCAGCACTTACGGAGCGGTTAGCGGAAGGCCAGCACTTGCCTGATGGATACGTCGTTTGAGAGTCCGCTGGGGCTTCGAACCTCGGATTTGGCCGTTTTCGATCCCCGTTTGAATTGGACATAGAGGATATCTAGATGAGAAATGATAATGCGAATCTACTAGGCTACAATGCCCTATGGTCCATATTTTATTACAGTAATAACAATTATTATTACACCTAACCGAAGGTAACTACGCTACGCTAAATTAGTTGGCAGATATGTTACTTCATTCTGATAATGTTCTGGCATCTCTGTATAAAAACATCTTGCGACCTACTTCGTAACTGCAGTAGTAACCAATTGCGTAACAGGAAAGTCTCTCCTAAGTCGATTCATAAACCGGTAACGAACAAGGATCTTTTCCCACTACGCAACCGTAACGAACCAGTTACGAAAAGGATCGTAAGTTAAAAACACGAGTTACTTTATAAAACTATTGGGATTATCTTTTATAATGACGTTACTGTATATAATTCGAAATACAACGATATATTTACCTCGCTCAGCTTGCGTAGAACACAGTCCGTGGCGGACGATATACTCTGACTATCCTAAGCGAGAAGTGCAGCCACTTACAATATTACATTGTCACTTTACTTCCACTCCGTACTAATGTACACAATATCCAATACCTATCTCAATATACAACGTAATAAAGCGTGATATATTATTGTAAATCCGCTGCCAATCAGCGCAAATACAATTCATCGCAGGACAAAACACAACATGCCAAACGTTATACGTTACATTGTACTCTGTTGGGTGTCGTAGTCGACAATTTGTAGTACCAATTATTATGGCAACACTGAGCAAATTATTACCAGAGATACTCCGTCTTTTCTATTCATCAACATGATAAAACGACAACGTTTTAAAATCATAACAAAATACATGAATAATTTTTCTCGATTCATTTATATGAATGAATTGAAAAATATATATAATGTTGCAGAACAATTGGTACTTCCAAACAGATTATTCAAAGAATCAGCTTTCAGTCTAACATATTTGGAGCATGTAAATAATTTCCAGCCCAATGTTGGATATTGGTCTAACATTGGATGTAAAATATTTACGAGTTTTGTTAATTTTGTACATCACGAAACCGACAGTGTTTGAGAGGTCTAAAAATATGATGACAGCATTTATGATTAGATCACGAATGCTCAACTAGTGACACCCAACCAGCACTGCCTATACAGGATCCGGAGCCGACACGGCTAGGAGGCGCGAGCGGCGTGGGGCGGCGTGGGGCGGCGTGGGGCGTCGCGGGGCGGCGCGGGGCGTGGTGGGGCGGCGCGGGGCGGCGTGGGGCGGCCCCGGTGTTATAATATCTCCGCGGGCCAGTAGGGCGCGGGCGGGGCGGGCGGGCACTCGCACTGGTGTACGCGCTGCACCACGAAGTTCCCGTAGTCGTCCGTCAGCGCCGCGTGGCACACGTGCCGCCGCCCGCCGTCGCTCCACAGACGTTCTACGAGAAAACATTTCAATAAATTCGACCGGTCGCGAAAAGGAATGGTTCCATTTTCGTCACCGCTTGTAGAAACATATTTTGTACATTTTATTGACAGAATTTATTACATATTTTAAGAAATGGTGAGTATATAGTTTTGGAAAAAAACACTGATACCTACCTGTACTAATGTCGACATCTGTCATTAACTCTTCGTTCATTAGCGCTGTCAGAGCGTCGTCCGTGTGTCTTGAATCTGGAAAATTAATTTAAGCTAACGTAATATTTCGGTCAACAGTCGACACCCTTCCATTTTACGTCTCCACATAACTTTGGCTTCAGTTCATGTTTGGGAAACTACTCTGCTACCAAAATGTTAGGGAATTTACTCTCTGTATATATATAGGGAAAAATAAGGGAGCGTCAGTCATTTACCTTTATGGTTCTGCGGATTTCTTGGGCTTCAGGGTCTCCAAGGTATCTTCGCTAGCTTTCCAGTTTCACAGCAGGCCTCACAGTAGGTTTAACACAGTTCTAATTTATTTTAATTCACAACACAATGCAAAGGAGGCAAAGGCGCGGGAAGAGAAAACTAACGGACTCTAATATAATAATCTGTGCTTACGATGTTACAGGGTAGATTTTGAACAGTTCAGTAAAGTCAGTCCAACTTCGCGATGAGTGTACGCGTTACTCAGCACACTATCAAATAAACTTACTAATGTAGTACAACCATTCCATCTGTATACTCACTACCTAGATACTTCAGGTAACAAATAAATTAAATACACCTCATTACATCATATACTAGCTACTCGCCCCGTCTTCACACGGATGTACATGTATTATATATATAAACTTTCCTCTTGAATCACTCTATCTATACAAGCAAAAGAAAAACTGCCTCAAAATCCGTTGCGTAGTTATAAAGATTTAAGCACACATAGAGACAGACAGCGACAGCGACTTTATTTTATAGTATGTAATGATGATAACTCTACAGTGGTGAGATGATAACCATCGCGCTACAAATTAATTCAAAACGTTCAATGCGAGTTTAGTTAGGTTTCGTAATGAGTTGTAATACTGACCTGGTTCCTCCTTGACGCCGGGTTCCTCCTTGACCGCGTAGAGGTCTGTGGGCGTGGTGGGCGTGGTGGGCGTGACGGGCGTGGTGGGCGCGGTGGGCGTGGTGGGCGTGGCGGGCGGCGTGGGCGCGGCGTCGGCCGACGGCGGCAGTACGCCGCCCGCCTCGCCGGAGCTGTTGGAGCTGCACTCCGGGCTGTACGGCGCCATCTGAGACATGTCCACGCAACGTTAGAGCCGAATGATATATAGATAGATAGTACAACCGTTTTAGTTTTACAACTGTACCACTAGATGGCGTTGATAAGTTTTATTCATTTCTCTACATCTCGATGTTAAGATTTTTGCGCGGGTTAATATAAGCGTTCTGTTAATTTTAATAAACGTTAATAGATTACAACAGCCACTGTTGAATAATCCCTGTAGTTTAATTTAACTGGCCAAATCTCAGTACAGTATTCATATACATAGAATATGTACACACATAAAGACTTATTTAACAAATAGTACATAATATGGATAATGTAATAGAATATGCAGTATGTGTGTGCTACAGCAATACAAAATGGTTCTTAAATGTGAGCTAATAGAGGCAACACCAGGTAAAACGGTCGGTTTTAGCATAGACACGCACAATTATAACCAATACTAGTGTCATGACGTTTATCATAGATAATTATTTAAAAGTTCATAATAACAATACTCAGGACAATTCCCACAGTGCCATATATGGCCCATCTATTGACCTGTCCTTTGTGCCCAACATCCTGCACAAAGGAAGACTTAAAAAATGCGACAGAATGCGCAAAAGTCGTCGCAACATTCTGGAGAAAATATATTTAAATACAGTGGAGCCCCGGTAGTCCGACAATCATTTTGCAGGCAGTGTCGGACTATCGAATTTGTCGGATTATAGAGTACTGCCTAAGACCCCTTATAGTCCGAATTTTTTTACAAAAGAGTACCTTGTAATCCGACAAATTATAGATCCAATGATGATTCTTTATATTATATACATATACAGTGGACCCCCGGTTATCCAACAAACGTTTTGCAGGGCAGTGTCGGACCATCGTATTTGTCGGATTATAGAGTGCTGCTTAAGGGTCCTCTGCTTAAAGTCCGGATTTTTTTACAAAAGAGTATCTTGTAATCCGACAAATTACAGATCCAGTGATAAGATTCTATGTTATATATGTATGTATGTATATGCACTCTGAAGTATATTGTCAAAGTAATATTCAATAACAAATAATAGACAATGTCGGATTACAAGGGGGGCCGGATTACCGCGGGTCCACTGTATATGTATTTACTTGCCATTGAAACAAAAGAAGAAGGACAATTCTCACAGTGCCATATGACTATATGGCACTGTGAGAATTGTCCTTCTTCTTAACACAAGCTCATTAAAGCTTGTGTTATGGGTACTAGGCAACTGATATAAATACATAGACATATTTTTCGTAAATACATAATATACATAGAAAACACACAGATCAATCAAACAATCACACTCATGAATACAAATGATTGTGCCGTACGAGGAATCGAACTCGCGACCATCGGAAGGCGGTGTGCTAAACCTCTAGACCAAGGCCACCAACTCATATAGCTGGATATACTTATCTCTATAATATCACGATTAAATTCTACGATATAAAGCAATAATATACTAAGTTATAGTAGCACTTAGTACATGTTATATAATATTGATTTCAATGTATGTCAATAGATAAATAATTAATCAGGTAATATTAAACTGTGTTTGTTTGTAGCCCACTCATGCGTAAATTAAATATCTCTGGAAAGTATACACTCTATCCTGAGGTGATACAAATGATCGCTACTAAGAATATTCTTCAATTCTTCTCCCTCACGAGTCTAGGCAGCGTCACATTTTAATAGTTCTGTCACCTACAGAGAATGACTTCATCAGTTATTATTTTTATTTTTAAACTTTCGTGTTTAATATACATTATTTATATTATCATCGGGTCTTAACACGAACTAATTTTATAGCAAATAAAGGTATTTACCTCTCTCGACAGCACTTACTGCAAAGTTCAGTAGCATCAATAGTTTAATTAATAATTAACAACGACTTTAAGTTATTTTCTTAAAACAATGTTTTCAATACATTTTTTTAATGTAGCAACGACTTTGGTAAACAGGCACACGGCCCAACAATTACCTATTAAGTAGCCTATAGACGCCCGAAACGCCAGGGGTGACGCGTGCGCGTTGCTAGCCCTAAATGCACAGGAACACTGCTGAAGTCGGTACCTAATTAATGAATAAGTTTTTCTAACCCTGAGGCTCCTGCGTCGGCGCGGCGTCACCTCAGCCATTTTGTAGCTGGTGTCTATGGCCCAGTACGACCCCTTGCCTGGGTCGTCTTTACTTCTTGCCACCTTCATGAAGCACTTATTCAGGGACAGATTGTGTCTTATTGAATTCTGAAAACAAAACATTCTTATTAAGAAAAGAAACATGAGTACTATCGTCAAGTAATATAAGGTATTGGTCATACTCGTGAACGGGTGCTGCTTGTGGGGACGCGTCTGTTCGGATTAAAGTTACTGATTTAATTACTTCCTTTTGACATAAATGCAATATACTACTGCAACTTTGGAGTTTTTTTTTTGAGTTATTAAATAATCATCTGTATTTTTTATACAAATAAAAATAGTAGCCCCTAATATAATGTAACTTTACATCAAATTTCATTATGATATGTTCAGTTCTATATTTGTAATAAGATAACAGACAGGCAGACAATTTCACATATGTAGTATTAGTATCAGATCAGTCATGAAGTCAGGATTGAAAATCACTTACCATCCATCCCTTCCCGACTTCTTTATAATATGGGAATGCATTGCAAATGTAATTGTATATCTCGTTGAGGGTCATCTTGCCATTCGGTGAGCTGCTGATAGCCAGGCGGATCATGCTGGCGTAGCTGTGGATAAAAAAACATATCTTAACACTACCTGTTACCTCTCGACTGCTTCTGTTTTTTAAAGATCAAAGGTAACATAATAGAAACAGTCTATATTCAAATAAATTCAATACACACAATTTTGAATAGTCATATTTTTTATTCTATCACTCATTCGGAACGCAGATTCAGCCCAAGAAGAATGAGCAAAAAACTTGTGTGTTGCTCTTTTGAATGTTTTTCTTTTTATATAAATAATAAATAGCTATACGCCCGGGCTTCGCACGGATGTACATGTATTATACATATAAACCTTCCGCTTGAATAACTCTATTTAAAAAAAACCGCTTATTTTTGCCGTTGCGTAGTTTTAAAGATTTAAGCATACATATGGACGGACAGACAGCAACCGCGCCTTTGTTTTATACTATGTAATGATTACACATTAACAAGTAAGAGTGAGCTATGAATTTTAAGTTATTCTACAAAAATTACATTATTATTGTTAACAAACTCTTCAATTTTATAATATGTATTTATATAAAGGAATTGTTTGATACGACATTCAAATCTTTTTTCAGGCAGATTTAGAACAGACTGGTAGTTTGTTGTAAAGCCTTACGCAATTACCATAAAATGAATTACTAACTTTAGTTAAAGGATATTTAGGTAAATTCATTTTGTTATTTTACCTATTCTGACATAATTTATTATTCATATTACTTTTCAAAATTACTAACTTCCAGGATTACGTGAGCGACCGTTTCTTCGGCATATATATTATTTTTGTAATATATTTTTTTATGTAAATATATTATTTTTGTAAATATATACATGTTATACATAGAAAACCCAAACTGATACAACAATTATAGTTATGAATACAAATGTTTGTACCATGCAAAGAAATCGAACCAGCGACCGTCGGATGTAAAGCAGTGTGCTAAACCACTACACCACTAAGGTCGTCCACATAAATGTGGCACTATATTATGTTACAATCAACAGGTAATTGAAATTAATCAATACATTTAATGATAAAACATAATACTATAATCTTTAAATACTTTTTGATATAAATTAAGCACTTACAAGAATATTTTTATCTAATAGTAATTATATTGATTATTGTAGATACAATATCAGTATATACCAGAGAATAGAACTAACTTGAAAATATTCCATATTTAACTTTTATATGCCTGTAAGTAGTTCCTAAACATACTTTTTATGAGGAATAGTGGTCTCTCAGTGGTCGAAATGTACTCCAAATTGAAAACATATACATTTTTAGTTTTCATTTTCAGTTTGTAAACATATATATACTTTTTTATGAGGACTAGTGGTCGAAATTTGACCATAATGAATTTACCATTCAGTGAGACTATAGACAAGCAATAATATTCCATTTGCAATTTTTTTTGTTCCTTGTATATCCTATATCTTTACTATAATCAGATTTGTTGGAAGTCTGTAGTCCATTGGGTTTTGGGGGTTGTCAATATATTCTCAATTTGACAAGATTTTTTAACAATAAATAAAAGATGAGTGTGTGTACATACACACATGTGTGTGTATATATATATATACTTGGTAATGTGTTATTTTTTTTAATGTTTTAATGTAATTTTAGGCATAATTAGATAATAAAAAATATATTGATATAAATTATATAATTAGGAATAATGTATAATGCTAAATAATGACCATGAAGTGGTCAAACCCATATTTAAATTATGATCTCTACATGATTCAGTACATAATCTCCTCATGTCAGTACAGGATCAGCCTTACCAATACCTGCATTCTTATTTTTATATTCTACTAGCTGTTCCTGCAGTTTCACTTGCGTGAAATAGATAGCCTATGTTATTCTGATGTATAAGCTGTATTACTGTAAGGTTTCATCAAAATCCATTCAGTAGTTTTCACATGAAAGAGTAACAAACATCCATCCGTACTCACAAACTTTAACATTTATAGTATTAGTAAGATATCTGTTGATTTAATCTTTTATCTGAGATTGCTTTAGTGCAGTTTAAAGATATGTTTATAGAATTTATGAACAAAATCAGTACTCAGTACTCTTATTGTTCAAAGATATGGAAATAATGACCAAAATGAATATTCTATTGCATTATTTTACACATATGTTTTCATGTGATTTTAGCTTAACCTGTTAACTGAGCAGGACAAATATGTCAAACGTCATACTTTCGTGTACATGTAGAACATATTTATACCTAAATTTTTTAAATTTCTGCTGCACCCTGGAACCTGGAGTGGGTGGAATATTTCATATCAAAATTATATACATTAAATTATATTGTACTGACATACTGACACATCCTAGTGACAGACAGTGCCCGTTATATGCTGCGTAATAAAAAAAAGGAAATCCCCGGTCAACAGGTTAATGATTTAGATGGTTAATAATATAAGATTTACCAACAAATTTGTTGATGAAATTAATATTGTTATTATGAATATAATAATAGAATTTAAGTTTTGTTTAAATATAAATTAGGATCTATATAAACTATATTGAGGAGAAAATGTCTCAAGGTGTTGAGTCCACCATGTGGAACTTTATTCATGTAATTGTGCCTTGAAGTTATAATAAATAAAATAAATATATTGAATGATGATATTTAATCATTTAACTATGATTATCATAACTTTATTGTATCACATTTTTTTATTATTGTAATATAAAATATATGTGTATGTTAAGGATCTGTCCTTATATGACTGCAAGCATTTTCATTATTTAAATAATGCACACATTTGCTAACTTTAAACATTACAGAAATTAGATATTACAATTTGCTTATTTATTTATTAAATATCACATCAAATAAATTTCTGTTCTCATTTATTGCTTTAAGGGGTCACCTACACCAGTGATTCAGCTACGTAAATATTTGTTAAGGAAAATAGGTACCTGTACGCTGGTTTGGCATGTTTTATTTTATTTGTGTTCTCTTTCTGATCAGCCTCCTTGTTGTTATTCTCCTGCTGTAAGGCCAACGGTTGTACACCCTCGTACAAGAATCGTGGGATGGGCCCCAACGGGCTGTGGCGTGGCGGGCCAGGACTGTACGCCGGCAGCCACTCCACGCCTGGGGACTCATTCATTGTTCCATCCAAACTCACTTTGCGTTCGTGACACTAAACTACGTTTTCATTACTCAGCACAAAAAGACTCGCGTCACTCGTTACTTCTCTCAAGATGCATCGATGTGGGCGGAGATCACTCGCTACCATTTAAAGACGATACTCTTTGAAGAACATGAAGGATCCTTGAAATGACGACCTCAGTACTACAAAACACTACGACGGAATTAACAACATAAACCGAAAGAAGTAAGTACCGATGTAAATATTGTATGTTAATAAAATATTATAATATAAAAAATATAATATACAACGTAAAACGTAAAAGAAAATTTATAATATGGAAAAAACTAAATTATTATGACATTTGATGCACCTACAACAAGGAAAATGGCGGCGGGCAAATTATATGCGTTCCTATCCGCATGGTTCGGATCCGCAGCTGTATGAAGTCATAGTATGGAGAACGCACTATTAAAATATTTTATTTATTTTGTATATGTATATTTTATTTAATATATTACATTTCGATATTTGTGGTCGCTACTAATTTTGATTTTTTTTGGCATTTTTATCATTTACCAATCAGTTTTGAATATTAGTCTGGCAATTATTAGAAATTATGTGTTACCAGTTTCATATAAAAATTTAAAAAACTGTCAGCATAACAGCAACTGTCACAACTGTCATTCAGTTTGAATACAATGTTGTGAGTGGTAGGTTCTGTCGCGATTTTCCGTAAAACAGTTTATTGACAACAATAAAATAAACACGTAAATAAATTATATGTGAACATTATTGTTATTGTATACTAAAAAGTGGAGTGAAAATATGGCTACACAGCCAGAAGTCGGCGTGTCCGACTTTGTCTTGTTGGACAATTTGACAACGGACAACTTTGTTGAGAATCTTCAGTTGAGGTAAGTTATATTCAATTTTATTAACTTACTGTATCCTTCTAAAAAATTCCTGACACTAGAAAAGTGCACAATTTCGCTAGTTTCGATCAAATTATATGTCTCAGTATTTAATTTAATTATGAAATAACTTGTTATGTATTTAAATGATACTAATAAGGAATATAACATATGCGCGGTCGTATAAGCTCATAAATGATTAAACCGGTCCTTGTTGTTTTCACCTGTGCAAATAATTTGTTTAAAGCTTAACCGTACAAATGGTATTTCGACATCTGTGTGTTAGTGCATACAAAATAAATGAACTCATGTCCACTATCTAGAAAATACTGTTAATTGTTGTTTATTTATGTTCTTAATAAAAATAATAACATCAATTCCACACTATTTTGATATTTTTGAAGTATAAGATCTTATAATAATTGTTTTTATTATTCATTATTATTTATTTTGATGCATACACCTACATTATTTGATATATATTTAGTAATAAAACAATTATAATAAATAAATTATTTGTCACATCTTCTATATATGATTTAATTTCCTTTACTTAAATTTAAATTAGTTTTTGAATGTTTTAATGATATGCATACACATAATAAAGCAATATATTAAAATCCACATATATAAATATGACAAAATAAAAATAATTTGTTATAAAATAAAACTTAATAATGGTTTTGTGATTATCGTGATATTGATAATAATAATCAGTACTTAGTTCATTTATTATTTAATTCTATTATAGTAAAATTAGCTGTTAATCCAAGCTAAAATACTGACTGAATGGAGTAATTTTTTTTTATTAAAATAAATATAATTCCTAAATTAATAATAGGTCCAGTTACTGCTTATAACATTAGCTATCTTCACATGAATGCCCCTTTAAAATCAATCCATCCCCTTCAGAGGTTAGCAAGCTGTTTTTTTTAATCAATTAATTAATTTAATTAATGCATATGAATTTACTGAAAAGCTGTTAATTTGTAATTACAAACGGACAGTTCAATTTTGTTGTATAGATAAGTATATAAATAAGTGCTTATCTACATTATAATTATTTTATAAGCTACCACTATTTTCCATTACATTCTGTATTCTGTATCATGAAACTGGTTTACTGAAATATTTAAATTTAATTTTACTTTAATTTTATGTTTTATTAAGTAATATACTAGTTACTCGCCTCAGCTTCGCATGGGTGTACATGTATTATATATATAAACCACCCTATTAAATCACTGTATCTATTAAAAAAAATTTTTTCTTATGACTAGTGACCCATCTCAGCCTTGCATGGATGCATTACAAACCTTTGAATTTCTCAGCTTGTTCTATATATATATAGTATATGTATTGTACATATAAACCATTTCTTTAAATCACTATCTATTGCTGAAAACTGCATTAAAATCTGTTGTGTAATTATAAAGATTAAAGATATAAGGAAGCCTACAGACAGTGTCAGTGACTTTGTTTTATAAAATGCTAAAAAATTTTTTATATAATAATTAAGTAAACAAATTTTCTATAGTCTATGGAACCTGTCCACACCATTTGGTATCTGTCATGAAGGTAGACTTAAACAATTGAATTTACAATACCAATAGCACTAAGTAGCATTGTCATCAGTCTGATGTCATTGTGCAGCACTGAGGTATGTTTCATGACTTTTCCTTATACCTTATTGTTTATAATGACTGTTTTAATTGCTCTGCTATCATTGGCTTGAATGGCGACACTTGTTTGTAATAATATTACCACCTGAATGTATTCTTGTCATAATAAAACTATATGTATATGTCTTTTATACTATACAATAGCTATACATCTATACATATAAATAAAATTAGAGTGTCTGTTTGTAATATTGAGATAAACCGTTTTTTACTACATGCCTATGAATATAAATACAGTACATATACCAAAAATCCACATTTTACAATTTTTGTCTCTCTGTTTGTTCCGGCTAATCTCTGAAATGGCTAGACCAATTTTGACGGAACTTTTTTGGCAGGCAGCTGATGTAATAAGGAATAACTTAGGCTACTTTTATTTTAGAAAAGTTAAATTCCACGAGGACGAAGTCGCGGGAACAGCTAGTCCTTACTAATGTATCTGTGGCACTTTCACCAAAACTACTGGAACACAAGTACAAAACAAAACTACCCATTTAAATGCAATTTGGTGCATAGATAGTCTAGACCATGAGAAAGGACATAGGTTTTTTAATTTAAAAAAAGTGTTGTTAGGGCTTGAAAGGGGATGAGTTGTATGAAAACATATTCATTTATAAAGCTAGAATCGTGAAACTTATATTTTAGACTGTTGATTAAATATAAATAAATATGATTTTCAAAGTTTGTACAAAAAATTATTCCATTAGGAGTATTTATTTTTCGAACTATTATAATGCTGTTGGTCGCAGCTGGTTTTACAGCTTCACCAGACAAAAGGGAGCGACTGCAGGTGGCACTCCAAACCCGTGGAAGGACTTATGGAGCGCATGAAGGCCAACTTAGAAGTTTACCTATGTTGTTGTTGTTCTGTTGACCTGACATACGATTTTCGTCTGAGAGCACCGCTAGGGGTTTGGACCTCGGCTCGGATTGCCGTATTTTTGATCCCCCGTTTGAATTGTACTGACGATTGGTCGGAGAATAGTATCGCTTGTGTACGTACAAAATTTTATGATACAAGATGATTCTTGCCAGTCATTGTAAAAAAAACTGTTTCTATAAATAAACTAGAATTGATCACATGTTTGAATCGAATAATCTTATTTAGTAATACCGTTAAACACACTGTGATATGGTATTTCGCAAAGATAACAGATTACTGCCGTTGATGATTAAATATGGAACGGTGCACTTGCAACGTTGGCTGTGCTAACGGTTTACGCTGGCGCGGCACCAGTGGAGGATGATAAGATGAACAGGAGCCTGATCACATCGCTTTCAGAGGTCCTTCATCCTTTAGCGCAATGCAACTAATTCTACAGGAATTTATCGTGATTGTTTCCAGGAGGATGAAATCAAAAATCATATATTGATGTAGGACGTAGTACATTTTAGCTGCTTATGAATGTCAAGTTTTTTTGTTGTTTTTTGTTTTGCAGCATTCTATTATCAATCTAAATATATATAACTCAAAGGTGACTGACATAGTGATCTATCAACGCACAGCCCAAACCACTGGACGGATCGGGCTGAAATTTGGCATGCAGGTAGATGTTATGACGTAGGCATGCGCTAAGAAAGGATTTTGATTAATTCTACCCCCAAGGGGATAAAATAGGGGATGAAAGTTTGATTTTGTCAATTTTAAACCGATCGAGCTGAGACTTTCCCCGATCCCCGATCCCCTACGAAAGGATTATGATAAATTCTATTCCTAAGGGGATAAGTTAACGCGAGCGACGCCGCGGACAAAAGCTAGTCATCAATAAAAAAAGTTGCAGTTAACTGAAATTGCACATCTCAACATGAATTGTTCACCTCTCACCGCAAAAACCGAAGTTTGCATAAGAAAACCGCCATCTTATATTTATGACTTAATTTAGGAAATGTTCTATTATATAGCGAGATGCTTCCATTGTTCACTATGGCTTCGGTAATATTACTGAAAACGGCAGATGGGATTTCTAAAAGTAGTACAAGTAAGTAGTAGAACTCCCACCGTGTTCTTTAGCGGTAAATTGCTGCCGTTTTACTACCTGCAAGTTCGATTCCTTGCACGGTACATACGTAAACATGGTTTGTATTGGTCTGGGTGTTTTCTATATATAATGTATATACAGCGGCTTATCGAGGTTACTTGTGACCCGAGAGCTGGTAGCTACTTTGCCCAATGGCTAAGTATGGCCATTCAAAGAGGCAACGCCAGTATCTTGGGTACGCTGCCTCGATGTGCCGCGTTGGATTACAATGATTGTTTTTTGTGATTGTTTGTATTAATTATTAAATAATATATTATAATATATTGTTATGTATATACATATATGCACATGTATACAAAAAAAAAAAATGTATGTAAGTGTTTGTCCGACCCAAGTTCGCACTGATGCATTACAATTCTTTGAGTTTCTCGGCTTGTTCTTCATTATAACACGACTATCATCATTGCCTTGCCTTTATCCCATTATTTGGGGTCGGCGCAGTATGTCATTCTCTTCCACTGCTCTCTATCAGTCGTCATTATAACACGACTATATTATACAAATAAACCTTCCTCTTGTATGTATAATATAATATATATCCCTACAGTGAAAACTTCTATTAAAAACTTCCCCTGTATCAAATCGCAGCGGGAGCCTAAGATTTAAAATAAATCAAAATTGATACGTTAAAAAAAACCTCTTCCTCCTCTTGTATCTCTCTATCTATTGCTGAAAATTACATTAAAATTCGTTGCGTAATTTAAAAGGTGTAAGTGAACAGATAGCGGCGGTGTCTTTGTTTTACACTATGTAAAGAAAATATTATACCCATAACACAAGCTCTGCTTAGCTTAGGACTAGATGGCGCTGTGATAATTGTTCTTGGCTACATTATTTGTATAGATGTAAAACTAACTAGAACTGTACACGCAACTTCGTCCACGTAGAATTAAACTTTATTTTTCTAAAATAAATACAGCCTAAGTTACTCCTTATTACATCAGCTACCTGCCAAAAAAAGTCCCGTCAAAATCGGTCCAGCCATTTCAGAGATAAGCCGGAACAAACAGATAGACAAAAAATTTTATTTTGGTGTATATACCGTATTTATATTCATATGCATGTTGTAAAAAACGGTTATTTCAATATTACATAACGACACTCCAATTTTATTTATATGTATAGATGTATAGATATGCCGTATAATACGTAATGTGCTGAGAGTTGTAAACACACGAAATTCTTAATTCATTAAATGTAGATTATTTTTGGTTATATCCGGCCATTAATGTGTATCGTGTAGCAGTAATATCCTTCACGATGACTTCAAACCTGTCTCGGA